TCTCTAAACTGACGTCCATAGAGAAACAGAGAAATAGTGTCAAGTTGCTCTCGACTGCTAATATCAATTTAGACGACGATGTGCGGGCCAGATCTGGCACGCAGTCTGCATTCCAAGTGCCACTGATGCGGGGCAGTGTGGGGGCGGAATCCACAAGTCCGAGAATCACTTCCGCGACATCGCCTTATCTCAGTGCGGATGGTGGATATATGCGTAGATTTACAGACTCGACGACTCGAACGGCGTACATAAGCATATGCATATCTGCGGTTTAGTTGTCGACATTATCTTTTGTTCGTCGTTTGAAAAATGTGTGTGTGTAGAGTTGTTCGGGTAATTGCGCACAATTGGCAGAGGGGACAGGGTGCCTCGGGTGGTGGGGTTTCTAGCAAACGCTATTTATTTTTATTTTAGCTCCGAAAGCTGGCGTTGTGCTATTTTCGAATTTTGTATTTTATAACCCGGGCTGTCGTCATCGGCGACGCTGGCCGTTTTTGGCCAATTTAGCTTTCGCTTTTGTGCGATTGCCTAACGAAACCCCCATGCCTCATTCCCCGGCACTTCCCCCCGTTTTGGCCAACTCCTAAATAAATCAAACTCAAAACACTCACACATGCTTGTGATGAAAAAAAAAAGTGAAAAAGAGAGCCACAAAAAACAGTAGAGATTCATTAATTTTTTGCAAGATTTTCTTAATTATGAGACGGCACGAAATGTGAGAATTGCACGAGCCAGAGAGGGAGAACTCACAAAAGATCCGTTCGTCACATCATCATCTCAGCCCAAGGTGTGACTTTGATCCGATGTGAGCTTAGCTTACCTTAGCGACTTTGTTCTAATTTTGGTTTATGTTGTGTTTTTCGTCTGTGTTTCGTTTTTTTTTTTATTACTGAGAAACCGGTGTCCCATTGTCTTTGGGGACTTGTGAGACAATGACGGCTGTTTGAGTGCATTTTTACACCTCAAACAGTGCGTTTCGCAACTCATAGAAGGGGTTACAAAAGTCTATAGTTAAAGTCTTAACAACGCCTAAAAATTAAAGATAAATTGGTAATATTTGTGTCTCACGATTTTCCTAAAATGTGTGACTCATTGTCGTCATAAAAAACGTTTTTCTGGTTCCCAACAAGTTAGCGGTTAAGTGACCTCATTTCTGATATCAAATTATAAATGTGTATAAAATACACTTTTTAATTTAATATTCTTAATATTTTCTATAAACACTTTGCTACGATAATTTATAGCTACTGATAAAGCATCCTTCAATGTTTATATTATAATTTCATTTCAAATCTTCGGTGTACTATGATGAACGATCTTTAGGCGGAAACCGTGAGCTACTCCCTCAAGGTTAATAAACAAGTGATTGAAATTTCTTGGTATTTTAACTATATATTCCACACAAAGGAAATAAATACAAATGGACATATAAATATATGTACAAATTGAAATGAGAAATATTATGAACATTTGTCGGGTTTAATACCGAAATGCGCTGTATGTACGTATGTTTTTATAGAAATGTCTAGGTCCAAGTGCACCCATATGTACATACATATGTCGACAGCTGATGTAGAGACAGGTTTAAGTCTGCCGGTGACGCAGATGCTGCCAGTTGGGATTGGCTTTCATGGATCCAAATCTCCCCTACCCTTCACTGCCCTCGCCCACACCCCTTCCATTCCATTCAATTCTATCCCATTGCCGTAGATTCTTTTCTGTCCCTCTCTCTGAACACGATTTGCAATTAGCCAAAAGAATACATTCAGATTCAGTTGGTTGTATAACGATAATTAGCAACACAGCGACAGCTGGAATTTGTATGCACATTATATTTATACTCGAGGGATTTCAGAGGAAAAACCCGACGACAGGCAAAGTTCAATTCGCATCTCATTTATCAATTCTATTACAGCTCACCCGCAACAGCTCGAAAACGGCGCCGACAACGACGATGCCTTATCAGCCAGCCAACAGCGGCGGGACGACCGGCGGCAGCAAGGCGGCCGCCAAGATGGCCCAGCTGAAGTTCTGGAACAAGCAGAATAGCAGCAAGCAGCAGCAGCAGGACAAGGACAAGGACAAGGATGCCGCCGACTCAGGCAATAACAGCAGCAACACCACCGGCAACAGCAGCAACGGCGATGCCAAGGGCGAGGCGAAGAATGGCAAACGCAACTGGCTGCACACGCCGGAGCAGCTCATCAATGGACACGCGGTGTATCTAGTCAAGGTGAGCACCGAGAGGGGCAGTGGCCTGTGACGACCTCGATCGTAGCCACATGGAGAGATTTTTGCTTAATTTTCGCAGCCACCCAATTGAAAAACTATCAAGATAAATGCCTGAGGGTGATGTGGAGTCTATTTTGTAAGGATTAGTAGTTTTATTTAAGGCAAAAGCGCAGAATTTTCCTTATTTTTTCTGCATTGCAGTATTGATATATAAACTTAAATCAATCTCTTATTATGCCTTTATTTGCATTAAATTTGCTTTATTAAACTTACCCAATCGAATTTTGTATTATGCAAACCCAAGAGAGAGGTAATATAAGCTAACGTCTTACGTAAATACAAATTGGTATTAACTGCATAATTGTATACATTTTTAAGGCTTGCGAAATCACCATAAAAGCCAAGCTAAAAATATTATTAGATAACTGAAATTACTTCATATTTAAGATTACAATTTTCCTGAAAGTATATTTAATTCTACATTTTCTCTTCCAGTTCTTTGGTAACCTGAATGTGGACCAGCCCAAGGGCATTGAGGTGGTCAAGGAGGCCATTCGGAAGCTGCAGTTTGCCCAGCAAATGAAGAAGGCGGAGACGGGCACTCAGGAGAAGTTCAAGAAGCTGGAGATCACCATCAGCATCAAGGGTGTTGCAATTCAGGAGCCGCGCACCCACAAGATCCTGCACCAGTTTCCGCTGTACAACATCTCGTATTGTGCGGACGAGAAGGGTGTGAAGAAGTTCTTCAGTTTCATTGCCAAATCGGTGAAGACGCGGGAAGGCGATCCAATGGCGACAAATGGCCATGCAAACGGAAATGGTGATGGTAGCTCCAAAGCGGAGGAGACCCACGAGTGCTTTGTCTTCATATCGAACAAGTTGGCCTCGGATATTACACTGACCATTGGTCAGGCCTTTGATTTGGCCTACAGGTGAGGAAGGAAACCCTAAAAACAAGGAGTGTAATAAACTAAAACCCATTTTAAAATTCTAGAAAATACATGGACAGCACTGAGAAGACGAATCTGAGCAAGGCGCAGCAGCAGATCAATCATCTGCAGCAAACTGTCAACGCTTACAAGGAGCGACTGCGCGAGGTTTCCGCCAAATTGCCAAAGGCCGAGCTAGATACCCTGCTCTTCAAAATGGGCATCAAGGACATTCTGGAAGCGCCCAGCACTGAGCTGCAGCAGAATGGCATTGAAGTGGCCACCGAGGCCCTGAGCAACGGCAAGCTGGGTAAGATAATGAGGAAATATAACAATATCCTGGCAAACCTAACACATTTAACTTGTTTTAGATGATGACAAGCTGCTGATTGACACCAATTCCACCACGGCATCGACCCATTCGGCGTCGCCCAGCTCGTTCTTGCCCATTGTCCCGCCGCGGAACAATCTATCTAGCCAGATCAGCATCGGCGGCAAGAGCAACAGTCAGAAAATGGATGAGCTGCTGCTCAATTCCGATTCCGATAGTGATTTTGATCCGCGGGCGGATGAAATTCAGGATAATGTGAGCAACGATCGCAATGCCATCAGCAACGATCTGTTTGGCTTTGAGCCCTCCAAGAGCTTTGGTCAGCAGCTCTTCTTCAACAACAACGATCACAAGCTGCAGAATAACAATATGAACAGCAACAACAACAACAGCAGCTTACTGATCACCAGCAATAATACCACCATCAATAGCAGCGGCTTCTCCAGTGAGCTGAACATCACGCCGCCGTTGTGTATGTTTTTGAGATTATAATTATATTTCAAGTGCAACGCAATTGATTAATGTGTTATTTTTTCAGTGGCGCCGCCGCCAAAGATTGCTGCTCCAAGACGCCTTACCTCGGTGACAACGGGCAATGGCCTCAATGGCAACACGGACCTGTTCGGCTCGGATCCGTTCGAAATGAACAATGGTCCGACCATCTTCAAGGTGAGAGGAGTGTGAAATCAATTGAATAGTTTCAAAAATATAATTATTTCCCTTGCAGCAAAATCAACTGAACATTGATGACTTCTCGCTGGAGAGTCTGGATCCTCTGCGCAAGTAGAGCGGTGCTAGTGCTACCAACGCCATTTTCACACACGTCAACTCGTCGTTTGAGCCTTTAAGAACAACCCGCGAATGGATATATCCCAATTTCCTTCTCCGTTCTCCGCTTCGCATGCATTCCCAGCCAATTGCAATTCGATTTGTTTAATGTGTATTATTGTTTATATATATATACATATATATATTGTATTGTATTTATTATCATTGATTTTTTGTCGATTTTATATATTGCATATTATGATTTCTACTATTATTATTATAATTATACAGATACGATTATTATATCTGAGGGCGAGATCAAAAGAAAACACACAATGCAATGCACTTTGTTTAAACTTATCAATTTGTTGCTGTAGCTAAATAGTTGAATTGAAACAGGAAAAATGTTAACAAGCGATTATGTGAGAAAATGCTAAACTGAATGTGAGAATGTTGTAAAAAATAATTATAAAGAGCAAATAAATCGATCGATTATTGTATAGAGCCGAAGCACGAGGAGAATCAAAGCATAATGAACAATATTTAATGTTATCGATGCAATACATAGAGAAATATTATTATTACTATTATTATTGTGTATGTAAAGAATAAAATGTAGTGCGTAAAAGAAAAATACCACATTTGTTTAAATGTTTAACAAGTTGCATTATTTATTTTTCATCTGTATTAGTTTTTTGCGTTTTTTTTTTCAAATAACAACACACGATAACTACACGTTACTGCCATGAATACAAATTTGAGTTGTTGCTGCACTTTGGGAATGTTTGCCTAGAGCTAGTGATATAGATATCCAACAATTGGTTCCTGAATCGTTCGTCCTGTTGCGGTTGTCTAAACCTGAGTTGCTGTTTTCCGAAGGCCTCGTTCCGTCCTTCTTCAAGCGTCCTGGACAAAGTCGCTATAGCGTTTCGGTGTGCTGGCCGACAGCTGGCGTGCATTCATATCCGAGCTCTAGAAGATCAAAGAGTATCTATCGTGAGTGCATTCCCTATATTTTTTGGTAAGTAAATTAAAACCAAAGAACTGCAAGCGCATCTCCGTTGGATACAGTCTTATAAATTCTTTAAATAACCATATAAATAACGCCAACGATTGGAAAAGTTCTGAAAGAAATCATCAGTTTGAAAGAAGTTAAATATAAGTAAAGAAAAGGTCAACAAAAGCATCAGATAGATATATAACAAAATCACCGTTAAATAAATTTGGGAAGGAAATAAACGTTTAGGTGAGGAATTAGAAAAACGAGTAAAGAGGAAATGCAGGTGAACCAGTAGGAGTAACTTTTTAATAATAATAATAAAAACCCCCAAACAAACTCGAATCACAAAACAGAAATAGGCGGGGGGATCAGTGTTTTTTGGTGTATACTTTTCAACAGTTTTTATTTGTTTAAAACTTTCATAGCTTAACCAATAAAATTAAATAGTGTGCGCTCAAAGAGATAAATGTATTTTTACATTGCATGCAGTTTATCGATATCCTAAATAAAATCCACAAATTATATGCTAATTTCGTAAATCTCTCAAAAACATCTGTGTGTACCTTGGAGTATGTATGTTCTTGTTTTTGTTTATATAAATATAAATCGAAATTAATGTCTAGAAACGAAATTATATATAATGCCAAGGGCGCTGCGCCACTCGCTTTCCCACAAAAGAATATACAGAACTTCAGGCCGCGTTTTGTGGAATGTCAAATGTTTAAAGTGAAAACAAATCGTTCAAGGGACTTTGGGGGGAGTTGGGGCACAAACAATATACAAACAAAAGTCGTATTTAAGATTAAACATTAAACAATAAATAAACACTTTTCACTTGACTGGGTTGCGGATGCGGGAAGAATGGGGTGGCTTGCTGGGATTGGATTTGGTGCAGGGTGGCGCAAACTCTTTACACAGCCAGGCGGGTTCTTTTCTTGAATTTTGATTTCGCACTTCTACTGGCTGACAGCGCTCGTCTTCTTCTTTTTAACGTATTTTACCTGATTGGACCAGTCACCGGTGGGCACGGTGGCGCGATAGAACTTTGAGCTGGTCTTGTTGAAGATGGGCAGCAATTCGTTGGCCTCATCGGACAGAGCCTGCGAAAATAAGGATTTAATACCATCACAGAACACTACAAGTCCATCAAACTCACCTTCAGATAGATAATGGCATCGGTGCCAAAACCTTCGCAGGAGAGCAGCACTATGTCGCCGTGGAAATAGCGGGCATAGAGCCGGGAGATCGGCAGGCCATAGCCATAGCCCGCTAGTGGTACCGTATGAAGATCGGACTTCGAGGGCTGCGGCGCCGTGCTGTACATGTACTTGAAGAGCTGATCTGTCTGGGAGCGTGGAATGCCGCCACCCTGGTCGGAGATCTTCACGCAAATGTCCTCCTTGCCTTTGGAAATGGCCACTTTCAGTGGCGGCAATGTGTCATTGGTGTCATGGCTGTGGTGCTCTACCACCGCTCGCATCGAGTTCTTAAAGACCTCGAAGAGCATATAGTAAAGGTGCGAGGGCACATAAACTGTCCGGATGGGCAGGCTGTCCGAGGGATCGCAGGTGTGCTGCTGAATCTCCAGCGCCGGACTGGTCAGGTAGTACTGGTCGCACAGGAAGCGGGCATTCTCGTATGCGTCTCGCACCACATCCGAGAGATCACAGGCGGGGTCCAGACAACCGATGTGGCGGCCACCCGAATGAGGATTTCCACCAAAAAGCAGGGCTATAAAATGATTTAATAACAATAATAAATAAGTAATAATAGCTTTCAACTCACTGTGCTGGTTTATCAGCATCCGGATGCTAATTCGTGACATGTAAAGGCGATCGAGAAAGTACTGGATGGAGCTCTCGGTGGGCGCGTCCACCTGGCCGCCCTCGTTCTCCTTCATCTCGATGACTCCCTGGGCCATTGTCTGCACTACGTCGTTGTGCCGATTCCTAATGAGATCCAAATCGGCCACAAACCTGGAAAGTAAGAGGGTATTGTAAAAATATATAAATATATTGAAGGTCTATTAAGGATTCTGGAACTCACTTTTGTAGATTGTCGTGCGTGGGTTCAGCTTTCTCGTACTCCAACACATCCTCGAAGCTCTTCACGTACCAGGAGCTCACTTCGCTTACGGATCTGGTGTGCAGCAGATTATCCGGCAGCAGGGCAATCTCCTTCATTATATTAGCAAGTCGCACAGGAAGCTCCTTGCGCAGAAATATATATGATTTCTTTTCACAGGCATTTTGACCTGAGGGAGGAAAATGAGAAGAAGTTAGGAATCGGTTTCCAGAAGTTTCAGGTATAATACAAAACAAGAAAAGAAGAAGAAGGAAACCGAGAATGAAAGAGTATGTAAAGGTTTTATTTTTTGACTAAAAATATGGTCTATATTATATTTTATTTAATAAACAATTTTTAAGATATTTTATATAAAACAAGAAAGGAAGCTAACTTCGGCACGCCGAAGTTTGTATACCCTTGCAGATATTATTTCATTACATTTTACCTATACTTATTATGTTTACAGTTTGACAGTTACAGTTTTGCATTCCCAGCTTTACATATTGTATACATCTACCGATCGGTTTATATGGCAGCTATATGATATAGTTGTCCGATTTTTATGAAATTTATACCAAAATTCTAGAACAATAAAAAAAGCCTATATCTCAGAGTAGATACAAATACGTTGAAAAACAACGAAGCTATAATTTTTTTCCTATTAATTTCCCGATCGTTCCTATGGCAGCTATATCATATAGTCGTCCGATTTTCATAAAATTTTTACCAAAATTCAGAAATAATATAAAATGGCCATATCTAAAAAATGGTGCAAAAATATTGAAAAACAGCAAAGGTATAATTTTTTTTCTAAAAATTTATCGGACATTTGTATGGCAGCTATATGATATAGTCGTCCGATCCGGCCCGTTCCGACATATATAGCAGTGAGAGTATATAGAAGACTATATGCAAAGTTTCATTCAGATAGCTTTTAAACTGAGGGACTAGTTTGCGTAGAAACGGACAGGTGGACAGACGGACAGACGGACAGACGGACATGGCTAGATCGACTCGGCTGTTGATGCTGATCAAGAATATATATACTATATAGGGTCGGAAACGTCTCCTTCACTGCGTTGCAAACTTCTGACTGAAATTATAATACCCTGCAAGGGTATAAAGATCAAAGCCTCAATTTAGCAAAAACTTTATTCCAGTACAAGTTTAATTTTATTTATAGCTTGAATGTAGCTCGAACTTATTGAATTCCCCACTTAATTAAACATTTCCCTTGTTCGTCATCTGTTCTATATTATTTAAATTGTTTTCCGGTGCTGGCTTATCAATGCAGCTAAAGCTAAGCATTCGGCGATCATGAGCTCACGAGTGAAAACCTCATGTGAACCTAGTACTAAAAAAATAAAGAAAAATAAACAACCTTGTGGCGTACAAAAGAAAACAATTCTGAAACCCACATAAATTCAATTGGATTAATTATCAAGAGAGTCCAAAAAGTACTTGAGCCAATTACATATCTACAAAAGTACAGATGTATGTATATAAAGATAGTATATATAGTGCCGACTGTGTACTTTATAAACAAGCTAAGTTCAAAGCTCTCTGTGGCAAAATGCGAAATAAATCAACCGCAGCAAACTTTGGCCCCGTCAAGCTTTTGCATATGTTTTTGCCTTTGTGTTTGTTAGTTTTTTATTTGTGTATTTGCCTCCGATTCTCTCAGTGTGTGAGTGTGTTTTGAGTTTTGTGTGTTGTTTGTTTGCCGATTGTCAACAGTTTCGCAACAAAGAGAAAAGCAAGAAACGAGCGGTTCAGGCGTACGGAGTGATAACGCCGCCGCCGGATTCCATGTCTTATCGATGGCGGGGCCTTGACCAGGGACACGCCTTCTTTTTCCATCAATTTGTTCTTTGCCAAAAATTAATGGCGATAATAATCATAAGTAATTAGTCTAGAAGGGGATGTCCAGAAAAAATTCGCCACGCTTAATTGGAATTCCAGACACAAAGCAAAAACAAACAAGATATTGTGTTGGACGTGGCTATTCCGTATAAATTAGACTGGAACCGCCTTTATATAGCCGCTCGTTTATGAGTCAATTGTAACGAATTGCCAAAACAAAACAGAATCAATAAAACGAGTTATAAAGGCAAGCCAAAAAACAACAAAGAACACGGAAAGAGAGGCAATAACCCAAGCACAAAGCCAAAGATTCCACCTCATCGTATTTTGTATGTAGAAGAACCTGCCAGAAACCGATCGAAGACCCCAGACCCCTAAGAGATATGACGAGATATAGTGAGAGCGTTGGGGAGAGTAACGCCGCCCCCTCTCTACACGCGCGCTGCCCGCTCCAAAAAGTCCCTACTAGTTGACCTCAAAAGAAAGCTTTTAATGCTATGTTTTTGTTTACTTGTTTGCCATTTGTCGCTCTCTCTTTCTCTCTAGCTCTAGTTTTATTTGCTCGTCTTGATAATAACAAAAATAAAGAAACCTCCAGACTTGATCGGTTTGTCAGCTATATGATGATGTCTGGCACTCCACAAAATGTAGACTTTGATGCATTGCCCCTCTGGCCTGATAAGTGTTCGCCATTACCACCCTCACTTTCATTTGCGATAAATCGCAAAAGGCGTTAAGTGACTTAATCATAAGTACTCTATATGCATTTAGATAATTGCCAACCATAAAAAAAAGGAAGTTAAGCTGGGGCAGATGGTTACGACATATGGTTACCAGGGGAAAACTGAATTATAAATCTAGGTAATACGGTATAATCTCAGTAGGATTAGTCAAACTTTTTTATTACTGATTTGGAAACCACTATTTGATTATAAATTTGTAGATCTATGAATATGGTTTTAGTTCTGTATAAAATTAAGACAGAAAATCGTTCATGATATAGTGAAAATTTTATAGAAAATTCGAGTAACCATATTGAGGTACTAGTCTTTAAATTAAACCCTAACACCAAATATAAATGTTGTTTTGGGAAGTGAATTCAGAGTCAAAAATACCAAATATTGTATGGAAACTGAAACAATTCTTTACTAGAAACAAGAGTGAATATTCTGACATAATAGTGGCTCGATTTATGTGGTTTAAATCATCTTAATCTAGACCCCCCAATCAGTAAAATGCTCATCTAACCCTAAAAAATATATTTTGGAATACTTTCTTCAAGCAAAATATTTACAAATAATACTTATAAGGTTTTAAGTCTCTTATAAAATCCGAATGATTAATTAATTTGAACTCTGAACCTTTAAAAATATTAATCTTGAGTATAAATATAAGTACTTTTCAAAGAATTATCCATAATCGAATGAATCAAGCTTAAATATTGCGTGTCTTAGACGTTAAATTGAAAATTTATCACTGCACGAATTCAATTCCAGCGTGTAGAATCGAAAATGAGCTACGCTTTTCACATATGTACACCAGACCCCACTATCAGCTTGGACTCTAAATAGGGTATATAGGGTAATTCAGTCGTCAATGGGGCATTAAATAATTTACAACGCAAGGCAGCACCACGCAATCAGGGTGAAAGGGTGAAAGGCGGCTAAGGAACTGCAATTTCTGCAACGACTCAATTTTCTAGTCAACTGCAATTACATTAGGAACAGCTAACGTCATAGCTGTGAAGCCTGGAGGCACAAACCATGACCATCCCCTCTTTTTTTCTCTTCTTGTAGAGAACAGCTGTTTGAGGCACGGCAATGGCCCTGTCCTATTGCATCAGCTAAAACCCATTGGCAGTCAATTTATGGCCAAATTTCTCTCTCTCACCATCTCCCGAAAATCCATATGTATATTTGACTCACATTCGCCCTGTGACAAAAATACGGCGCGTGTGAATGACTACGTCTATGCCTCTATTATCGCTGAAGGAGGGTGCCTCTGCTCTCACTCTTTTTCTTGCCCGTGTTTTGCTTTTATTTTGGCCAACTGTTGACGTCTGGCCGGTTTGCGGTGTATCTTTCTCCCTAAAGCGGTTCCAAAGTTCAACCGAAAATGAGGTGCTCAGCCTCCCTGGACTTTGCCCCGAAATGGTCACAGTGATCTTTGATCCATAAGAACTTTTTCCATTACTATATATGTTATACCATGAATAAGAAACATTTGAATTGTCAGACATTGTGTTTTTGCACTTCTCTTTTGCGTTTGGTAATTAATTCTCTTTGTCACACACACGCAAAAATTGGCACATGATCAACCTGATCCAAAAAACAGGCCCCCCTATATATACATACAAGCGTTATTCTTTATTTGATATTTCCCATTGATATCAAAACTTGGCCTTCGGATTTATGCCTCAAGAAATACTATAAACTCTATATATGCGATAGTGAGCGCCCTCGAAATTAAGCATTATACTTTGGAAACGAGACTCATTCGTCCGCCACTCAGGCGCGAATTTTAGAACCTTTTTCTCAAATTGAGCGGAGTACACTTAGCCTTACTAAGCGCTAATCGATGTCTAACCTGAATCATCACCTAGCTTGGGGGTATGATAATATATATTAACAATGTCCCAAAACAATAACCAATAATAACAAGCTAGCAACACGCTCTATAGGTATAGAACATAATTACTCGATATTTATGGACCCCCACAAAAGTCTAGCAAAACACAATTAAGTGCCGGCCTAGTACAGTTGGCGACAAAACACATGCGAAAGCGTACCTTATCTATGACATCAAAGTTCAAGTATAGGCAGGTATACAATATGTATTAGTTATTTATTTGGTCAGTTCGATGAGGGGCCCAGAGTGTGGGGTAGTAATAAAAGCTTGTAAACTAATTTCGTTGTTTTCGTTCATATAAAAAGGTAAAAACAAAGCCTGCTTAGTCTGCTTAAAAATACCAAAACACAAGTGGCCCTAAAAGGCAGGCAGCGAAGCTTGTTGTTTGGTTCTAATTTTAGATGATAATAGCTCAGCCTCCAGGGGAGGAGGCTTCTCTCCTCCCCAGTTGTGCTACTACTTGGCCTGCCTTTTATTTCTGCTCACGTCAGTTGCCATTTTTGTTGCAATGAGAATAAGGCTGAGGAACTTTTAACTCGAGTTCAGGCTGTGTACACAGAAAATAAATAAGAAAAGTACACATTTTACAAAAATTAAATTGATTTATATACTTCTCTGAATGTTAGCTGGATTTTTAAACCTGTTTATATATTCTTTATATACAATTTTATATAAGAAAATGTAATGTGAATTTTAAAGCTACCTAAATTGAGTTTTATATAAGTTTTGGAAACTTTTTCTACTATAAAATATGACAATTTTTAGAGTCTATCACAGTTTTATGATTTATAAACATTTTGTGTTCCCCTTTCAGTTTTTTATTCCCCTTCTTGTACTAAAAACATTCCTAAATAAATAATCAACACAAGTATAACTTTCTGTGCACGAAAGCCACTCAGTTTGAGTGGGGTTGGGTGGCTGCCTGCGTGTTTGGTTATTGGGGCAGGTTGAAGGTCTGGATTTCGGGATATACATAGGTTTGTACATATATGTATCCTTCAAGAGGTTGGGCGTGACATTGAAACGTCATTGAAGGCCACGTGCCGGCTGTCATTGCCGCCGCTGCTCAATGAAGTGTGGGCGGGCGGTAAAAAAATAAACGCTTTTCCTTTGCCCGTCCTCATGTTTCAGTGCCAAAACTTGTTTATAAATTCAAAGCGGCTCTCGTAAACAAGCCGAGTTGTTCTGACTTCCGTTTTTTTGCAAGCACACAGCTGCTGAGCAGAGGAAAAGCCAAAAGCTAAGCTGAATTGAACTGAGCAATTCAATTGTTTATACTGCAAGTCTCTCGGTCTCCCTCTGACGCTCTCGCAGCACAATCAACAGTTTGTTTGCCGCACAGAGAAATAATAAAAATGCTTAATTGACAATTCAATGAAACGAAATTGGGTATTAGATAACGGGAATTTTGCGCAGTTTAAACATTTAGAGTCGGATCAGGTTTTATAGTAAATTATAAACGAAATTTAAGATGAAATTAGAATATTATTTACTGGCAAAACTATGTTATAAGTGTGAGAATGAATTATTTTTCAAGGTCTTAGCAGTGTTCTTAATAAATTGAAACGAATTTTTAAGTTATTAGAAGGTTAAAATATTTTTTCTTGGTATATTTACACAAATTCCTTTGCTCTTTTTATAAAAATTTCATCAATTAAAATATTAAAAAAATAATAACTGTCTCATTTATAAGTCTGAAGTCCACTTTATCAATATCCTTCCCTTCAGAATACAATAAAAAATAAAATAAAATCTCTTTTAAGATATAAATTTCCTAAGCAACTATTACTTAGCCCTTAGTTATCTATTACGTAAGACACAAGACCTCACTTTTATAAACATTTAATAAGGAAAGTTGTATTTTTTTATACAGTTTCCGATAAGATTAATTAAAATAAAGGTTCCCTAACACAGGTACAAAATATTTACTTACCAAAATCCATAAACTGCTTTATGGAGAGCGGCGATGGGTTGAAGCCCGAGTAGAAGTCCAGCATTTTCGCCAAGCTCGCCATCGAGGAGGAGGCCGAGGAGGCCGAGAAGCGGACTGGGAACAGGCGCATGTTGTGTGTGTTTCGGTCTGTTTTTTTTCTGGTTCGCGGGGGATTACGCAGCTGCGCTGATTAGGTTTGCCGGTCGGCCGGTAGGTCTTTTGGGCTTATCTTTAACAACTTTGTTTGCTACTTCTTCTGATTTACCAGATATAATAATACATTTGCATTGAGCGGCAGAGACCGGTGTCCTTTCGCTCACCTTCGCTCTCTATCTCTCGTTCTCTTTCCGCAGGACGTTGACCGGGCGGCAAAGCTCTCACTTTCTTTCCAAAAAGGAACAGAAGAGACCAGAAACAGCTGGCAACGTCTTGAAAACTCTCTGGCGGCGACGGGCGGCAGTGCTCAATAAATCAATGGAGCTCTGGGCTTAACAACAAAAACTTAAACTTTTACGAAGAATGGTAGCAAAAATATAGGTAAGTTTAACTTTTTTTGTGTTAGCTCTCCTGCTTATTGTTGTTGTTTTTGCTGTGGGCGGCGGGGGAGGCGGGACGACGTCTCTGCTGCTGCTGCTTCTGCTTCTCCTGATGCGCCATAAACGTGACTGTGTAAGTGATGATATTTGTACGGTATTTGCTTTTTCTTGTTGCTCTTGTTTTTGTGCTCTCTTAATTGCTGCTGCAGTTCTTCTACCGCTCTAAGTTAGTTATTATTATTTTTTACTATTTTTTATATTGTTGCGCGACTCCAGAAACTGAGCGGAAAGCTCAGAATACGCCTGTTTTTATATTGCTCGCAGCTTTTTGTCATTCGCCCAGAAGCAGTGTTGCCATTTAAGCTTATTTTCAGCTAGATGGAACAGCCTGAAAAAGTTAAAATAATAAAATATGAATTTAAATTACTGTAAATATTGTCTATGTAAAAGTTTATTTAGCTTATTTTACATATAGCTGTATTCTTGAAATCAAAGATTTATGCTTATAGAAAACTGTGTATAAATTTAAGCTTTTTTTTGGTCGAGCGATCATCACTAGCAGCACTCCAGCTGCGAAAAGCTTTCAGCGGGCTAACAGTGTTGACAAGCTTTGCGGGTTCACAGTGTTGTTAAGCGCTATTATTTGATTTTAAAATTGAAATTTTTTCGCATTTTTGGTATTATTTAACCGAAGTTGATAGAATTAAAACATGTACTTGAACCTAATAACAAATGAAAATCTACTTTTTGTTTCCTTTTTTTTTTATTCAGTTAACTACGCGTGTGCGCTTTTTTTGAAAATAAAAATATACAACAGTTGACAATAGAAATACCAAATTTAACACACGTCATGTTTCTAGATTTCGTCTTTCTGGCTCAACATTCAGAGGTAATAATAATAGAGTGCAACTTACTAATGATAAATTATAGAATTTTGTAGAGGATGCAGAAAATGTGTTCAGCAAATAGTGCCTCCGTTCGGTTCTGCCGGCTGGCTCGCGCACACACGGAATGAAATGCAGCAAAGTATCTAGTTGGTTTTAAGTTTGGAATACATGTGAAATACAGCAGCCGATGCCTCCGTCCGCCTCCCACTCCTTCGCTTCTCCACAGGCCAGCTCAGTCCGGTGTTCTACCCCGGAACCGAAGACTTAGATCTTAGACTTAGATCATACAATTGATCGGGTCAACAGGCCACCCTTCAGTTCTTGACGGAAAACAGTTGCGCAATCTTGGAGGCGTGACTCTTGAAGAACTCGTAGCCCACTTTGGTGGCGCCCTTGAGCCTATCCGTGGTGCTGCTGCTGTGACTGCTGATGGAGGACGTTGCCGTGGTGGATGTGGCCACGGACAAATCACTTGGGGCCGCTATAGCTGGCTGGTGATGCTGTCCACCCAAGTGGCTGTGCGGGAACATTCGCCGCAGCACGTGATTGAAGCCATTGAAGGCCTTGACGCCATTGGACTTGAAACGCTCGAGTCCAAAGGCTCGGATGGCGCGGGAGAATCCTAGGACCTGGGAACTGACAAAGGCCCGTCGCTCGGCCAGTGTACTTCCGTCCGGCTGCTCGCTGTACACGACGATTTCTTCGACGTTCTGGAAAGGTTAATAAACCAAGGATATTTATTAATTTTTTGACACCGATAAACTTTTCCTAGTTTCGTTCACTTACCATTATCTTCTTCATGCCCAGATTCCTGGTGTATGTGGTGAGCGTCTTCTTGACCGGATCCAGCACCGAGTCCTCAACAATCTTGACCGGCAAATTGTTGTAGAATCGAGCTCCCCACCTTGGCACGGGATTGGTCTTGGAGAGCAGTCTCCGCGAGCGTAGCTTGCCATCGCGCACCTCTCGCGAGATGGTGTCCTCGGTGAGGACGTGTGTGCTGTAGGGATTTGGGTAGCGGTTCCAGTAGGCCACCACAACGTCCTTCCAGCTGTAATCGAACACCGTCTCTGTGCGGCAGGTGGAGGCCGTCACAACCATTGTGATTGTCCGCTAATGAACTCGCCCAACAGAGAGACAGTGAATAAAAGTGAAAACTGCGGCCTTCGTGACCCTGAGCTGAAAAGAAGAGAGCAGATAATCAATTGCAATCGCATGTTCCCGGCTATAAATAGTCATCGATCGGCGAGCGAACCTTCGGGGGCTTTCGGGGGGCTTCTGCCGGCTCGGCGTCAGAGCTCCACGGAGTGTGCGGTAGCGGCACACACACTTTGATTTAGCTGGCAGCTTGTGGCGATGATAGTTGACTTAAAATCGTGTGCCCCTGCCCCTGGGCGCCTACTTCTCTGCACAGAGAATTTTGTTGTGTAACTGCGTCACAGCGGAGCACACACACAGGGTGCCTCGACTCCACACTATTTCTGCTGCTGGCCTGGGGGATTGTGGGCGTTGCGTCTCGTTCAGACTTCAGTGTCCCCTTCTTCTGGCTGTCCACGGTTTCATTGCTCCTGCTCTAACAGAGTTTGTTATTGCCAATTCTGAGTCCAATTCACGCCTGCTGGTACAAAGGCCATCCGGAAGCTGCCTGCTGGTTAGTGCGGTCTCTCTGCTTGCCAATAGTGTTCGGGAAAGTTCGAATAAAAGCGGCTGGTCACACTGCTTTCCGAGCAGCTGTTCAGCAATGTTGCTGTTTTTTGACTGTTAAGAGTTTGTATGAATGCATTTTTTAATTCGAAATTTGATACATTTTTAAAAACTAAATTTATGTGTCTTTCTAAAACACATTTCTTTAAAATTAGTTACTTTTAAAATCATAAAAAAAGTGGAAGCCCTTTGCAGGGATGCCAGATAATTGAAATTTTTCGAATCGAAAATTGAGATTTTCTTAGTACAACGAAAGGGTCATATTACTGCTATTACTTGCCTACCAAAACAAAGATTACAAAGTAATTCTGACTAAAACCTAACAAAATGCCGGTAGATTGGTTCGGTTATGTGTACGCTGCCACGGTGGCCGCCGGCGGAGTCATGGGCTACGCCAAGGCGGGTGAGTTTGTGAATCCCCAATGGAAAATCTCGTTACAAACTCTCTATTGTGCAACCTCATTATTCACTTGCAGGTTCCATTCCATCGCTGGGTGCTGGCCTGGCCTTTGGAGCCCTGCTCGGCTATGGCGCCCATCTGAATTCCCAGGACACACCGCGTCCATTGCTTCAACTGGGCACTTCCCTGTTTCTGGCCGGATTAATGGGCATGAGGTGGAACCGTTCCGGCAAACTTATGCCCGCCGGCATGGTCTGCATGCTATCCGTGGCCGCTCTGGTGAAGAATGTGGCTACATACAATCGGTACCTCCTTCCCGTGCCAGCAGGCCCAAGGGGAACATAAAGCCTTTCATGTTGGGAATATCCAAAATGCTGGACTTGCCTGGAGATTTTTGTAATACTTAATTTTCTTCGTTTACACAACCATGTTAATTGGTGTGGTCATTTAAATATCTACATTTGGTGATTGGAAACCTTGGTATAGCGCTGTGTCACTTTCTAAGCTAGCGATAAGATACTGTACTCGTTGGTCGACGAATAAATTTTATCATCTTGCTGGACTAAAATAAACCTTGTTTTTACTTGATACGTAATATAAACAAAATTAACTTTAAGATTAAAAGTCAAACGAAGTATTCTTTTTATTTTTGCTACAGTTTGCTAAGTTTTTATGCTTGATATTCCAACTCCAAGACTAATGTTGCTATGCATGCAGAACCTTTGCAACATTGATGTACTGCCAGCAACAATTGGTGTAGCTAAACATGTTTACAGCTACATTTTCGCATTTAATGTTTCATGCGCTTTCTGCCATGTCAAATTTTAAGTTTTATACCAATAAACGGTAATTTAGGAATCCTTTGTATTGTTATTTTTAGTTTTGCCATAGTTGATAAGTTTTTATGCTTGATATTTCAACTCCAAGGCTAATGTTGCTATACTTACGGAACCTTTGCAACATTGATGTGCTGTCAGCAACAATTGGTGTAGCTAAACATGTTTACAGCAACATTTTTGAATCAAATGTTACATGTGCTTTCGGCCATGCCAAATTTTAATATTTTATACCAATAAACGTTAATTTAGGCATCCTTAGCTAACCAGGTGTATTCCAAATTCCCAGACCAAAATATATCCATCAATAACAATACTCTCACATTTTTTTATACAAGTAAAATTATATATTTTATGTTCTTAATTTATGATTTTGTTTCATTTTGTGTGTGTGATAAATTTACAGTTTCATTTATTATACGATGTTCAGTTAACTACAACTAAAACTTAGCTATTACACATTTTTATTGTCATATAAAAAGAGAGCATTAGGCTAGGTAAATATAGAGTAATGAATTTTTTATTTAGAATTTAGACTTCTAACAATTGGTAATACAATAATGAAATGAATATTTTAAGTTTTCTTGTAGGCAAAGTGCGGCAAGGTAAGTTATGAACGTTTCTCCACCTTTATAGCAATTTTCTAACAGAAAATGATAAATATTTTGTTTTGTTTTGTTTTAGTAAAGAGTACAAATTACATATGTTTATCACATTGGAAATTGGGATAATTATTGGTTTTCCTTTCGATTGATTTGTGGATCAAAGAATAATTTAGGTTTCTCGCCAAAAGGTGTGTATGTTTGTGTGGGGTGTATGTGTGTGTAGATGAACTTTTTACAGAATAATATGTACTATTTTACAAGAATTTGCATTAAATTAAATTATACAAAAATTATCATTACATAATATATGCATGTACTGAACGTAACAACATTGCTTTTGTTGTTTGTGTTGCTTTTAACAGGGTATATTTTAAATTAGTTGCGGCTAGAACTAACAACAAATCAATAGGTTTTCATACGAAATAATAATAGTAATAAATTCTAGCTAAAAACACTTTTTAACTGCAAACATTTCCTCGTCCAATTTCGATGGCAGTGACGTCCGCGTGCCAGCTCCAAACGTTCCCCAAATGTTGCTGCCTTGCACTTTCACTAGAACGGAAACAGCTTCCAGTTAACCACTGCGCCGGCGGAAAGATGGAACGGAAGCGGAAACGGAACGGTGGAAACGAAAAGGAAATACAAAGAAAATTAGTAAAAATGTCACATAAAGGGGTTTTTATTTGGGGCGTGCAAAAACAATGAGTTCTTATATTCTTATGCAGTTTATATAGATATATATTTTTGCAAACGCCGACCATTTAGTGGGTGTGTGTGGTATGTGCGTGTGTTCCAATCCATGCGTTTCCATCTGCCAAATTACTTTGTTTCACTTTTGCCATTCCGCTGCCTTATATTTAGTATGCAGAATGCGTTTATTTCAATTATTTCGAATCTGAATCCATGCCATTTTCTTCTTGATCAATTAATACTTAATTGCTACGGTTATAGATGTTTCGATATATCGTTTCATATATATATTGATATTGCCTTCAAACAGTGTGTATGCGTGTGTGAGGAATAGAGCGTGTATGTTTGAGTGTTTCTATGCTGGTATGTGTGTGCGCATGTTTCAATGCCAATTGTTTCATTTTCGACCTTATTGCGTATGTGTTGTGTGGTGGTGTTGGTGGTGGTATCGTGTGTTTTCGATGCAATTTTGAAAAAATAGAGGAACTAGAGGAAATCAGCAATGAGTTTTTGATCTTTTGATATTTTTTTGATAGATTTTTATTTGTGGTAATGAGAGAGTTTTCTGCAAGCATGCTTTATGAGGTCGAAGTCGGCGGATGTGTGAATGCGAATGTCCCTACTATTTGCCGTTTCGGAGGCGAGCGATGATTTAAACTGAAATGCAATTCGATATTATTCTAGTTCATGCCAAGTAATAAGGGAATTAAGTTTCAAGAACTACCAATCGGTACTACAAAATTAAAAGGGTGTATATATGATCGATGCAATGCCAGATGCCAAATGCTTAAAATACGAGCTAATCCATATTATAGCTAAATGGACCGTTACGAATGCGTTTAGCCCTGGTCCTTTGCGCTTCCCTTGGCGCCGACGTCAACAACCAGGATTATATTTTGATAAATTGATTAAAAAAGGCAGGCAGCAGAGTAATAAATAGGAATAGAGGAGTACTACTAGTAAACTATCGCAAATCCATGCTCTACTGTAAAATTCGTAGCGTACTTTAGGGCCAAGCTTTAGACTACTGAGTTAGGAACCCGACTGAATGCTGGATTGGTTTGGGCTTACCGCACGCAAGGATAACGAATCGGTATCGCTATCTGTATCGGTATCGGTTTCGATCGGTTTTGGCATTTACTTTTGTGTGATGCGTGTTGTTTAGTGTGTGTGGATTTGTATTCTGATTGGTTTTTGGGGTAGCCGTTGAAGGTTGGTAATGGAGGTTCTCCAGGTTCTGCAGAAGCTCTCTGGAACTGTGATTTGTATTCTTTTTTTCAGGCTAGCAGTAAGTAGTTGTAGCTTAGGCTAAATTGGTAGCAGAGAGAGAGAGTTCTTAGAGTTGCATCTTCTTGCAACATCGTTACATGACTCGTGTGCGTCGTATTAGTTTTTGTGTCTTGATTTTGGGTCTCGGTTTCGGTGTCTTGGCTGTTTCCGTGCCATTGTTACTGTCCAACACCGCTGGCAGGTTGTTTGTGGTGTCGCCAATGTAGTTGGTAGTCTGTTCTTGGGGACTACTACTGCTACTACTAGTTTGGTATGCCTTAATACTACTCCGGTTGGGGGGCGTACGTTTTAGGAAGGCGCTTCCACCGCTTGGCTGCTCCTGCGCCTGCTGCTGCTTCTGCTTCAGCGCCTGTTCCTGCTGCTGCTGCTGTTGCGAGGATTTGGCCGAGCTCACCGAGGACGACACAAAGGTGGTTGTGGTGGTGGTGGCCGTCACCGCGCCATCATGCAAGGCTTGCAGTTTTTTAAAGTACGCGTCGAGGAATGATGATGTGGTTATCGGTTTGGCGGATGCTGTTGTCTTATCGGTGATCGGTGTCGGCGCAGCTTTGGTTGTGGCTGTGGTGGTGGATGGTGTGTGGAACTTACGTTTTTGCCGCTCAATTGCTTCATTGCTCTGAATGCCGGCAGTCGCCTCGTTCTCCTCATCGGGAAGGCCGCCATCCTGCTGCTGCTGCTCGTCCTTGTTGCTGTTCGGTTTCGTGTTGCTGCTGCTGCTGCTGGTGCTGCTGGTTACACTATAATTTGTAAGGCGTTTTTGTTTCTGTACCAAAGGGATTTCGACTATCGACTGTTGTTGTTGTGACTGCTGTTGCTGTTGTTCTGGTTGCAATTTGGTAGCATGTTGTTGTGTCTGTAGCATGTGTAAGTAGTATTGGATTTGTTTTCGTAATTCGTGTGTGTAGATTTGGAATAAGTTGGGTGTTTGTGTGGTTGTTGTTGTTGTTGTCGGTTTGGGTGTTGATGAAGTGGTGGAGGAAGCAACGTCGCTGCCGCTACTGCTGCTGCTGCTGCTGACGCTGCTGCTGATGCTTGTCTGGACCAGGACACGGTTTTCGGGCAGAATGCGATGCAGATAGCCAAAGGATTTGGATTTGGGCCTAATGGTGGTCGTGGTCGTGGCAGCAGCAGAGCCGCCAACAGCAGCAGAGCTCTGCTCGATCTTGTTGTCCTGCCGATTGGCCTCCTGCTCCTCGCTACTAGTGTTGCCCTCATCCTGCTCCTCCTCATTACTCTCGTTCTCGTTCTCATTCGCATTCTCAGCCTCCTCCTCCTGCGAATCGGTCTCCTCACTACTATTTTCAATATCCTCCTCTGCATCTTTGTTCTTGTTGTTGAGTTTACTATGTTTATAAATTGCAGATTGTTGTTGTGTTTTGGTGTGCGTATTGTTGTAGTTGTTGTTGTTTTCGAATTGGTGTGTAAAGGTGTAAAAGTTTGTATATTAAAATATTTGTTTTTTGAGTGTAATCGTGTGTACTCAAAGGTTTGTGTGTGTTTTGCATATTTTTTTTTTAGTAAGTAGAAAAGTCTTAGCTTACACAACAAAACTACTGGAAAAAACAGTCTTTTCTAAGGGATTTACCATATTTACTATACTCACTTGTATACTAAACGATAGTTGTGTCCATAATCGGGAATAATATTCGAGGGCAGTGGTGTGCAGCGACCATCCAGACAGTGCTGTGGGTTCATCAGAGATATAAAATTCAATTTCAGGAGCAAAAATAGGTTTAAAATAGCTGGACTGTGCCAAAGACCATATAACAAAGCCTTAAGTTAGCTCAAAACCAACCCAAAAAAGACATGGCGTTACGCATCTTATTACTTCATACTTACATAACCATTACCGCAGGCCGAACCCTCAGCCGCTGGTCTGTAGGCCACACAGTATCCTGTCTGGGCGTCGAAGCAGAAGAGCTGGGCGCACACTCGCTCGTCCTTGAAGCAGGCGTATGTGCCTCGATCCCTGCGGCACTGGGCGTCCAGTGATAGTAGGGTTCCTGGCAGCGATCGACCCAAGGCGCTGTCCTCATGCGGGGCATTGTGAAGGCAGGTGGCGGTGTCTCCACTGCGAGCAGAAAAGTAAATCATTAAGATATCCCCTTCAAGACATCCCTCGAACTTACTTCAGGAAATGATGGAAA